GTCACTGGGCCATTCCTGGTCCTCCCAGGGCCGGGGCCGCCGCAGCTCTGATGGCGATCCTGGTGGGAGGGTCCCCCCGGGCTGTGAGGCAGGGGCGCCCCCTTCCCCCAAAGCGCAAAGTCCTGCGGGAGCCGCCTTGGGAGATCCTGACCCGGTGGGACCCGGGGCCTAGAAGCATCAGGAACTGCTGAGAGCGCAGAGCCGTGCAGGGCCCTCCCCCGGGCCTCCCGGACTCGGCGTTTCGCCTGCAGCTCTTCGCCCTCTGCTTCCTTCTGCCCCAGGGTGGCCTCAGTGCCTTTGGGGTGGACACCAAGCGCACCCTCCGCGCCCTGATGCTCGGGGTGCTGCTCCAGGAAGGAGGGGCGAGGCAGCGACTGTGCCCAGTGCTAGTGCAGAAAACTCAAGTGAGGTGCCCGCTCGGGGGAAGGTCAGGACACCCAGGTGTCTGTGGGGCCTTGGTGTCCCACCAGGGAGTGGTGCCAGCCCCCAGCTCTGTGCTCTCGGACCAGGCCCCGGCCTTCCCTGAGCGTCCGGGGAGGAATGGCTCACCCTCAGGGGGAGCGCCCCGAGCAGGCGCTGTGGGAATTGTTTACGTTCAGCGCCTGGCTAATCCTGCAGCCACCCCAGGACGCGGGTTACCATAGCTATTTTCGCTTTCACAGACGAGCTGACTGAGGCGCTCAGTGTTCAGGGCCAGTGTCCCGCTTTCCGCCCTTGGTGACGCTGCCAACCGAAGCCAGCAGGGCGGTCTGGGCAGACCTGGCCCTCAGGTGGGCAGTCCCTCTGCCCCAGCGCCCACAGCTAGCGGCGGCTTGGGCTTGGAAGGGCTCGCCTGCCCTTATCACCCCCCACAGGAGTCTCTCTGGGTCCCTGTGGGCGGACCTGCTGGTGCCAAGACTGGGATCCGCCATGTGGGGACGTGTAGGTCTCCGGGGCCTTGGGATCAGGGCCTCCAAGGACCAGGGCAAGAAGAGAAGGGCCAGCAGAGCTCAGAGCAGCTGTTCTGAGCGCAGACAGACTCCAAGCCCAAGCAAAGATGGCCCATCGAGTCGGTGCCGGAGCCCAGCCCACAGACTGAGGAGGGGGCCATACACAGGGCTGCTGTCCTGAAGCCTGGGGGGGGGGCATTGCAGTGGCAGGTGGGCTCAGGGCATTTCAAGGGAGAAGGCCTTTGGGGAGAAACACCTTTCATTCACCAAGCCTGTCTGAGTGCCTGGGCGAGGGCGAGGGCGAGGAGGGGGTAAATGCCGCCTTGTCCCCACCTGCCAGTGAGATAGCGTCCATCTGTCCAGTGGGGACGCCATCTCAGATACTCCATGTGGAGGGGCTCAGAGAGGAAAAGGGCCCGGAACATTTGGACATGTAGAGATGGGAGACAGCATTCCCGACTAAGGGATGTACAGTGTATACAAGAGCAACGTCTGGGAAGTAAACAGCCTGTGTAAGGACAAACAGAAAGGCAGTTTGTGGTCACAGGGAGGGGCTCTTGACCAGGGAGGCCCGCCACCCTGAGGGACAACACCCTGTATAGAACTCCCTCCACTCAGCCCCGGGCAGGGAATGATTTTAGAACATGAATCCTCGGATGCCTGGGACTCGGATCTTAGTCACTATAGTGTCCCTAGAGCAGCGGTTCTCAACCTGTGGGTCGCGACCCCTTTGGGGGTCGAACGACCCTTTCACAGGGGTCGCCTAAGACCATCGGAAAACACATATATAATTACATATTGTTTTTGTGATTATTCACTATGCTTTCATTACGTTCAATTTGTAACAATGAAAATACATCCTGCATATCAGATATTTACATGACGATTCATAACAGTAGCAACATTACAGTTATGAAGTAGCAACGAAAATAATTTTATGGTTGGGGGTCACCACAACATGAGGAACTGTATGAAAGGGTCGCGGCATTAGGAAGGTTGAGAACCACTGCCCTAGAGCCTAGCACACAGTGGCTGTTTAATAAGTTCACTTCTTCCCACAAATGTTTATTGAGTCACTACTAAGCATCAGACACCGGTCACTGGGAATAACAGTGAAGGAGATTAGCAAATTCTCTGCCCTCGGGGAGCTTATAGTCTGTCTGGTGGAGACAGAGTGACTTTATTATTGTTGCTGTCGTTACGTTTTGCTAAGAGCTGTGAAGGAGGGCTCCCTTCCCCCAAGAGCATAGTCGGTGACTTTATTATTGTTGCTGTTGTCTTGTTACGTTTTGCTAAGTGCTGTGAAGGAGGGCTCCCTTCCCCCAAGAGCATAGTCCGGAAAAAGCCTCTCAGAGGAGGAGGCTTTGACCTGAATCACAGGAAGGGCCAGCCTTGAGAACAGCAAGGGAAAGAGTTCAAGACAGAGAGAGCGACATGTGCAAAGGCCCTGGGGTGGAATGAAGCTCGATGGGTTTCCAGGGTAACAGGAACGGGATGAGTGAGGGAAAGGGCCAAGGCGAGGCAGGTGGGGCTCGGGTTGGGCCGGGCCCTGCAGGCTGTGGTAAGGGGTGGGAACTGGATTTTAAGAGCAATGGGGAGCTATGGGTGGGCCCCCTCTGGCTTCTGTGCAGAGATGGGAGAGGGGCTGGGGCTGGAATTTAGGGCAGAGGACAGGCAGGACTAAGCCCTCAGACTGAAGCTGGGGCAGTTGCAGGAGGCGAATGTGCGAAGGCCGTGAATGCAGGGCCAGAGGTGCTGGGTCCGGGGAAGGGGGGCACGAAGGCTCAGCCAGCCTGGGCTGGTGCGTCAGGGCCCATCCCGCCACATGGACCTGAGGCCTCACGCATGTTCTTGCCCTGAGCGCGTAGCACTTTGCAGGCTGGCGCCTGTGACGGCCCGTGCCACCGAGGAGGGAGCAGGCCCGGAGAGGTCAGGCGCCTCAGCCAGCAGGTGGCCTGCATCAGCCATGCCTTCTGCCTTCCATGCCACTGCGCACCTTGGGGGGGGGGGCAGCAAAGGAGCAGTCACGGGTCCCTGCCTCCTGGGAATGCACAACAGCCCGAGGCACAGACAAGCTCCTTGCAAGGGCCCCTCCGAGGCACAGTGTGCACTGGGCCTGGTGAGTGTGCAGATAAAGGAGAGGGCGTGGCCAGCCCGGGCTCAGGGGAGGCCCCAGGAGTGCCGGTATCTGTGCTGGGGAGGATCAGACAGAGCAGGCGCCTGGGACCCCTCCAGGCAAGCGGCCCGCAGGTCAGAAGGGCAGGACGGACGCCAGGACTCACGAGTGGCCCTTCTGGTTGGTGCACGCCTGGGAGCCAGGCTCCGGATGCTGCACCCGCTGGTCTTGAGTTCAAGAGAGACCCAGAGGCGCCTGAGATGAAAGGGCGCAGGCTGGGTTTCTGGTGCTGAGCAGGTGCCGTGAATCAGCACGAGTGGCGCTGACGGCTGAAGGGAGGGACCTCCGTTCTTTAGACTGTGGACTTTGTCCAGATCCCTGGCGTCCCAGACGGGGAGGGCCCTGGAGGCTGGCGCCAGCTCGCCCCCCCTCAGGGCCTCAGCACGTGCTGTTCCCTCTCTGACTTGTACTTCTTCTTTTTTTTTTAATCTTCACCCAAGGGTGGGTTTTCCATTGCTTTCTAGACAGAGTGGAAGAGAGAAGGGGGGGAGAGAGAGAGAAACATCGATTTGGTTGCCTCCGGCACGCACCCCTACTGGGGCTGAGGTAAAGTGCCCTTGACCTCGAATCGAACCCTGGACCCTTCGATCTACAAGCCGACGCTCTAACCACTGAGCAACCGGCCAGGACTCCCTTGTGCTTCTTGACTCTCGGCTCCCCAGGGCGCACCCTACCATGTTCTCTGGCCTCCCTGCTTGGTGTTGCCGCCTGCCGGGACAGGGACCTGCCACTGCTATATCTCCAGGCCAAGCATGTCAAACTCAAAGGCTGACACAGGCCAAATAAATGAGCCATGCAGCCCGCGGGTCGCGAGTTGGACATGCTTGCGCTAGGCCTTGGGAAATGCTTGTCGATTGAATGACTGAATCAGACCAAAATTCCCCACTTTGGAGATAGCCAGACTCGGTCCAGCCAGAGGAAGTCAGTCGCTCAGCCCACAGCCAGCCGGTGGCCACGGGGCTCATACACCCTCCCTGCCCTCGGCCCTGCCTCCCTGCCCCCGGCCAGGGCCTCCTGAGAGAGAGGCCACCCAGCATCGCATGCCCCCTGCACAGACTCTACGTCACAGTCCCCTTCTCTCACCCTGGGCTTCACACCGTGGTGGCCCCGGGGGCTTTGAAGTCAGACAAACCTCCAGGAGCCTCGTGAATTCGGACATGAATATGGCTAAGCGACTTTCATGCGCTGCCCTGTCGCTGCCTTCTCTGAGCTCCCCCCAAAAAGAGGCTCAGAGAGAGGCCTGTGGGGCTGTGAGTGCGCGTAGTGGGGGGCAGGCAGACAGGTAATGTCGTGAAGAAGTGACACAGCCCTGGCCGGTGGCTCACTTGGAGCTTCGTCCCATACACCAAAAGGTTGCGGGTTCGATTCCCGGTCAGGGCACATCCCTAGGCCGTAGGTTCGGTCCCGCGTACAGGAGGCACCGGTCAATGTTTCTTTTTCTCTCAAATGAGAAACAAACAACCTCGGGTGAGGATTAAAGAAAAAAAGCAAAGGCAGGAGATGGCTCAGTCACTGGAGGCCAGGAGAGTCCTCAGGTGCAGGCGGAGGGAGGTGTGCACAGGCCGGGGGCACGAGGAACCGCGTGGCCGGGGAAGGCTCTGCCTCGGGGAGGCCTGTGAGGACACACGTGGGGGTGCGGAGGCGAGGCTGCTGGGCAGCAGCCGCGGAGGCACTGTCCTAAGGGATGTGGGACCCAACCCGCTGGGGGATGTTGAGTAGGGCTCACCTGCTGTGACTGCTTTTGTTTCGGGGGGACCACTGCTGCTGTACGGAGAGTGGGTCGGAGGCCGAAAGGCTGCGGCGGGCCCCTGACTCGCTCCCGTGGGGCCTGGGCAGGAGCCGATGGCCGTGGTTCCCCGGTGGCAGCAGCGGCCGTGCCGGACCCGTGACCGCCTGTGTTTCCTCGCAGGGGACTTTGTGCAGCTGCCCGTGCCCATCATCCAGCAGCTCTACCACTGGGACTGCGGCCTGGCCTGCTCCAGGATGGTGCTGCGGTGAGTGGCGGGCCGAGGCCCACTGTCCACACCACACGGGGGCGGTCTGGGTGGGATGCGGCGTCCACGTGGCCGTCCGTGGTCGGGGCCTGTGGGAGGCTCCGTGCCATCTGCAAAAGCAAACGAGGGTGGACCCGGCCTTCCCGGGGTCCTCTCGGGGATGCCTGGGGCTCGGGTGACGAGGGAAGTCCTCGGTGCCCAGGCCCGGCCCACAGAGTGACCCCATGACTGGGACATAGGGCCTTCCCCCTCCCAGCCCCAGGCTCCCGGGGGACCCCAGCCGTCACCGGGACTTTGACTGTCGGAGCCCGGGGGACCCCAGCCATCACCTCGGAGCAGGAGTTTCAGGCGCTGCTTCCCCTCCACCCGTTTTCCATCCGGGAATTCCAGGCCCGATAGGGTTCAACGAAAGAATTCTCTGACCCAAACTCAGAAAGCCACTGACGTGGTCCCAGCCCCTCATCGGAGAGATGAGCTCGTGAGGCCAGAGGGTGGTGACTTGCCCAGAGTCACGCAGCCCACAAGCGATGCGAGAAGCAGCGGGGCGCCCAGGCCGTGTGTGGGCAGGACATGAGGCCTTCTGGGAGCGGGCGCTCTGCCAGGCCGATGGGCCGCAGGGGAGCGTGAGGACGAGCGACCTCAGCGGCGTCTGCCCACAGGTACCTGGGCCACCTGGACGACAGCGAGTTCGAGGGGGCCCTGCAGGAGCTGCGGCTGACCCGCAGCATCTGGACCATTGACCTGGCCTACCTGATGCGCCACTTCGGAGTGCGGCACCGCTTCTGCACCCAGACCCTGGGGGTGGACAAGGGCTACAAAAACCAGGTGAGCCCCCGTGACTCTCTCACACCGACGTTCCTCCCTCCCTCCCTCCCCCTTCCTCTCTGACATCAATAAAACTAAAAAAATAAAAATAAAAAAGAACCAGGTGAGTGGCTGGCTGCCAGCCCTCCAGCAGGTTCGGTAGTTGGGAGACCGTGCAGTCAAGGCCTGGCACATGAGTGGGTGCACAGGTGGGCGCAGACCGGGGAGCAGATGTGCTCTGGGCAGGACTTGGAGCCAGTCAGTGCAGGTGACCTTGAGGCGCCTCCTACGCAAAGGATCTGAGCAGCAAGCTGGTTCCTCCCAGCACCCCCGCCCCAGAGGGCCCTGCCACTCGCCCTGGACAGCGTGAGCGTCTCGGGCCGCCTTTCGCCTCCTCCCCCGCTGCCCTCAGCACAAGGCAGGCCCCGGGCTCAGCGCACACTCTCACCTCGTCCGGCCACCATCTGCCCATGTTCTTCCTTCTCATGGGAGCAGCGGCTCCAAGCTGGGTAGTGGGTATTCTGGGGAAAAAACCAAAATCTCTCTTTTTTTTTTTTTTGAAAAAGAATGCCGACCTAGGCTGGCCAGTACACTGGTATTCCCCCTCCCTGCACAGCAGAGCCAGGGTGGCCTGCCTCCAGGCGGGTCAGCCCGGCTCTGAAACTTGGCGGGCAGAGCCGCTGCTGGCCTCTTTGGCAAGAGAGTTGCTGCCGGTGGCCAGGGCCAGGCAACCTCATTCTCCCCTGAACCCCCAGGCCAGGCAGAGGGGGCTCTCGCATCCGGTGTGGTCACCACGGCTGCCAGGCAGAGCCTGGGGCCCAAGAACAGGGTCACTTGCCGCCTCCACAGGGGCTCCGACCCCTTCAAATCCCCGTAAAGCCAAGTGCGTCCCGTGGGCCTCCCCTGGCGGGGCAGAGCGGGGCTGGGCAGTCACTCTTGCTCATTTGCTCAGACTCCTGCCCATGCGCACCAGGGCTGACTGACCTCCCCCAGGGAGCCGCTCAGCCGCTGCCCACCCGCCTCCTGAGCATCGTCTCCACGCCTCCGTGTGGTCCTCCGCACTCCTGTCCGCTGGGGCAGACAGCTCCCTGCCCGCATCGCCTGTGCCGTCTCTGACTCAGAATGTGCTCTTTGTCCAAAGGGGCTGAGGAGCCGGCGGGGGTGGGGGTGGGGGGCCTCAGCCTGTCCTTCTCTCTGCAGTCCTTCTACAGGAAGCACTTCGACACCGAGGAGACGCGTGTCAACGAGCTGTTCGCACAGGCCCAGGCCTGCAAGGTGCTGGTGGAGAAATGGTGAGCCTCCCCCGCCCTCCTTGTGCACCCGGCACCCGTAGACTTGCGGGGTCGAGGCCTCAGGGTGGGGTGAGAAAGGCTGAGGCCGGGGGAGTCGGGCAGCCTGGGGTGTCCTGCCCGGTGGCTGTGGGCACTGACTTGTCCCCGAGCCTTGGTGTTTTCATCCATCAAAAGGGGACCCGGGGGGGCTACTGCTGTGCACAAACCTCTGCCTGGGCGACCCTGAGCGGGGGCTGGCGGTGCAGGTGAGCAAGACAGACGCCAGCCAGCCCTGGGCGACTCCCAGGACGGTGGCATGGACAGACCACAGTACCCCGAGGGCAGGGCTGAGGAGCCTGGAGCCTGCCGGGGGACAGCCCAGGAGGAGGGAGGCCTGGCTCCCCGCTCTCCCCACATCTGTGACCTTACCCGGGTCTCCCCTTCTCATCTACACGGGGCGGGGGCTAGGCAGACCCTGGGAGGAACTTGCCCAGACGTGAGCGCCGTCTTCCCGGCTCGCTGCGGGCTCGGCGCTCGGGCCTGTGGCTCAGGTCCCAGCCACCCTCTCCCAGCCCGCACCGCTCTTCCCAGTCTCCCCGTTCTCTCCAGACTTCCGTGTCCGTTATGAGCGACGTGTGGCCACACTCTAGGCCAGGGGTCCTCAAACTACGGCCGCGGGCCACATGCAAATACAAATATTGTATTTGTTCCCGTTTTGTTTTTTTACTTCAAAATAAGATATGTGCAGTGTGCATAGGAATTTGTTCATAGTTTTTTTTAAAATATAGTCCGGCCCTCCAACGGTCTGAGGGACAGTGAACTGGCCCCCTGTTTAAAAAGTTTGAGGACCCCTGCTCTAGGCGATTTGGAGAGCGGGGGCGGTCTCCACGCGCCTTAGGCCACAGGAGCACAGTTGCAGGGAACGGCAGCACGTGCTTCCCGGGTGGCACCTGGCAGGTGCCGTCCTGCGTGGGGAGGCGTGCTGCCCGCCCCTCGGGTGAGGAAGCAGGACGGGAAAACCGGTGAGAGCCGCCCCGTCCCCCGGGCAACATGGCCCTTGGCCGGGCTGTGACGGGACCTGACCCTTCCACACGTAGCCATCCACGCCGCCCCGCCTTTCCCGAGGCAGGAACCCCCTCGGGGCTCAGCAGGTGTTTGTTTCAAAGACCAGATGGGAAAATGAGGTGCTCTCCGGGGCGGAGGCAGCAAATCCAGCTGCCACGTGACGTGGGCTGGGCCGGCCGAGGGGACCCACGTCCAGCCCCTTCTCTCCTGGTCTGGGCACAGCCTGGGGCGCTGGCTCTGCTGGCCCCGGGCCCTGGGAGAGCTGCGGACCAGCCTTTCCTGGACAGCACTCTGCCACCAGGAGCCTTGGGGGCAAGAAAAACGGCCCTTCAGAGAAGTGTGGGGGTTTGAGCTGGCAGCGCCTTGCATGGCTCGGAGTGGGGGCGTACGTTAGGCTGACGGTCCCCACGGGAGCCACACGAGTTAGGGTGAAGGACCAATGGAGGCGCTGGGCTCACATGATTCACTCCGTCCAGGAGGGGTCCCAGGTGCTGCTCCACTAGCCCTCGGTGCGGGGGGGGGGGGTCGTCTGGGCCTGACCCCACCCCGTGAGGGCCCGATGGGGCCAGCCTGTTCTTGGGCGCACACGGAGCCCCCTCCACTGGTCCTGCCCTTGGCCTTGGACTTGAGCAGGGAGCTCGGGGGGAGGGAGGAGCCCTGTCCCCAGGCCGTGTGACGGGTCCAAGCGGGGTCACTGGAGAGATGGGGCGGGGCCGTGACCGCCGCCTCCCCCGCAGCTCGGTGAGCATCCAGGACATCCAGGCGCACCTGGCGCAGGGCCACGTGGCCATCGTGCTGGTGAACTCGGGGGTGCTGCACTGCGAGCTCTGTTCCAGCCCCGCCAAGTACTGCTGCTTCGCCCCCCGCGGCCACCGCTGCTTCTGCCGCACCCCCGACTACCAGGGCCACTTCATCGTGCTGCGCGGCTACAGCCGGGCCACGGGCTCCATCTTCTATAACAACCCGGCCTTCGCCGACCGTGAGTGTGGGGGTGGGGCCCATACGCCTGGACCTCCAACCTCCTCCCGTTCAACCTGGGGGGCCAAGGCCTCCCCCCGCCTTCTCCCCACCCCTGCTCCTCCTGGGCCCTGTCCTCTGTGCCATCCCTCAGGCCAGGCCACAAACCAGCCACAAGCCTGGGGCCGTGCTGGCCCCTCCACCCCCTGCTCATCGCCAGGCCTGGCCGTCTCTCCCTCCCACGCCACCAGCCTCCCCCACTGCCCAGGGCCCCAGTGCACGTCTGCTGTACAGACTGCAGGCTCCTCCCCCCACCTCTGCCCCCCCAGCCCCGACTGGAGGTCGGCACACTCGTCAGAGAGTCTGAGGACCCATCCGGGCTCCCCACTGCCCGGGGCAGGAAGGACCGCCCTGGCTCAGACTTACCCACTGCTTCCCTCTCGGGGCCTCACTTCATCGCTGACCTGGGGAGGGGTCGGGCAGCTCCCGAGGCCACAGCAGCAAGGAGGGCTCCGGGGGGGAGACGGTGTGCCAGGAGTGGTGGGGGGGGGGGGTCACGGCCCCCCCCCCTGGTCCCCGGGAGCAGGTGCTCGCCCGCCGCTGACCGCCCTGCCCGCCTCCCGCAGGAATGTGCAGCACCAGCGTCAGTAACTTTGAGGAGGCCAGGACCAGCTACGGCACGGACGAGGACATCCTCTTTGTCTACTTGGACAGCTGACAGCGGAGCCGGGCCCACCCAGGAGGCCCGGCCCAGCCCCGGCTGCTGGGGCTCGGAGACAGAGCGAGGGCCTCAGCCCGTGGGACAAAGCCCCAGGGAATTCTGGGAGGTCGCAGCACCTGACTCATCACTCACCAGTGGTGAGTGCCATCATGCCACTCAGCCCGCACACCCGCTGGGTGCTGGAGACACCCCCAGAGCTGAGCAGAGCCCCCCAGGACCCCAGCCTGACTCCGACTGCTCAGGGGCACCCAGCTCTGGGGGCGCCCGTACTGCCTCAAGCCAACCCCGGCTGGGGGAGCGGCCTGGCCCGCCCCGCCTCAGACCTGGGGACCCAGCCCCGGGAGAGAGGTTGCTTGTCAGGACAGCATGTGTGTGTGGAGACTGGCTGACCCGGCCTCACTGGAAGCTGTCCCCCCTTCTCCCTGGGGGTGCTGCGGAGCCCAGTCCCCATGGCTGGTGGCCTCTGGGAGGGCTGGGCCTTGGGCAGAACAGACTCTGTGCCCCCACAGCCCTCCAGGTGCCCAAGCTCTAGGGGTGTGGGCAGGCTCCTGCCACTGGCCTGCATCCCAGCAGCGGGCCGTCCTCTGAGAACGGGGAGCCCCAAGTCTCCCAGGGCTGGGTGCTGGGCGCCAGGACAGGCTGCGGCCTCCCCCCACCCTGGTGTTCACGCCACGACCTTTGGCTCAGAATATTGGGTCTCCTGCCTGGGTGAGAAGCGGTGCCCGCCCAGGTCACAGCGCGGCATGGGCACGGGCTAGAACTGTGGCCTTCTTTTCTTTTCTTTCTTTTTTTGGGGGGAGGGAGGCGGGTTATTTGAGATTTAAGTTTTCACTTCTGGGGTGAGATTCACCCCAAGATGCTAATAGTGAGACTGCAGGTACTTGGAACACGGACACCTCTTCACGGGCAGACGCCAGTTCAGGTCCCTCCTCAGAGAGGAGGCCCCGCGGGGCCCATGCCAGGCCCTCGCCTGCAGGCAGAACCCCCTGGGTCGGGGAGTTTGCCCGGGACACTGACGGGTGAGCTGGGTCCGCACCCAGGTCTGCACCTAAGAAATAAGGGAAGTGGATCCTGCTCGCAGGGGCGGGACCACCCCCACCCTCCAGGGGCTGCCTCTGGCGAAGGGGCAGGGGTGCCTACAGCCCCGCTCCGCACCCCTGCGTCTTTGTGCCCAAGGCTGCTCCCCCACAAGGCAAACCACGCTCAGCATCTGCCCCACCCACCAGCTGTCCCTCCCCACTGGCGGCTGGCGGGGCTGGGTGGGCCCTGCTAGAAGGGCGGGCAGGCTCACCAGCGTCTCAGCACCAGCCGTGGCCTTGGCCCAGAGGGAGGTGCCACCCTGGGGTCTTCAGACTGGCCTCCTCTGTTGCCTTAACGCTGCGTGGCCCGGGATCCCGGGGAGCCTGGCTCCATGCCCAGGAGCCCACGTGTGGCAGCGTGGGGTCTGGGGAGACTGCAAGGACAGATGCATCGTGGGGAACGGGCAGGGCGGCTGTCAGGGTGGCTGGCGGGAGAGCAGCCTCCGTGAGGGTGGGCAGCGCCTCTGTCCATCATGTGACACTTCAAAGCGCTCCGTCCCTGGGCGTGGAGGGTGGCTTCTCAGGGGACAAGGCAGGGTCACCTGTCTGGGAGGATGGCAGGAGAGCTGCCTGTCCCTGAGCAGCCATCTGCCCGGGGAGG